TGTGTGTGTGTGTGTGTGTGTGTGCGTGCCTGTACGTACTTGTGAGTCCCGGTATCACGGGGGGTTGAGACGGCGTTCCTGTCACCGGGGACTGGGTGGGCGGAGAAGTGGGCGGGGCTAAACAGAGGACACATGACAGGTCACTCATCTGATCAAACAGTGTGTTCTGAGTTGTGAGAGGAGCGCTTTTGACTTATTATAAATACGCCTTAACCATGCGAAGAAACCCACAGCTACCTTAAATGTACTTTAAATTGATTTTTTACTCTTTAACTTCAATCTTCGAAAACAAACACTTTTCTCCTGGACAATGTCTTGGACAATTTCGATTGTCTTTCTAAATTTTATTACAATGCTGTTTTTACACATTGCTTGCACAAAAATTGTTTTTTGAACACTAAGGTCATAAGTTTATTAATATAAGCATAGATAGTGTATTTAATTACAGTGACATTAAGAAATGAACTTGTTTTTGTTTTTTTGTCTCATAGAGCTTCATACTAAAAGGGATTTTGATAGTAGCATTCCTATACCCCCCCCAATAAAAACATACACTTAGTACTTTTTCGCGGTTACACATTCCTTCAAAAAAAACATTTAACTACCTTCTTGGGTGCTTTCCCACATACATTCAAATAAAAATAGAATATGTCATAGTTTTTTCAAGTAGCAAGCTTACCTGTATATCTTTATGTAGAGTATACAACTCTTTTTGTCACTTTGATGATTCACAGGGCGTAATAAAGAAGCAAGGCAATGTTTTGATTTGTTACAGTAAAAAGAAAAAGAAAAAGAAAGCAACCTGCACTTTACACCAGCCCATAGCGCAATTGGACACACTTTGAGTGTCAGCTAGTAGCATCTACCTTATTGTTTATTACAAGTTTAAGTTTTTATTTACAGTCATGTGTCCCTTGAAGGCTCACTCAACGGCAAGATAGCTCCCCTTTTAATAAACCGTTTATTGAATATTTTATTAAGTCGACCTCCTTTGCGGGGCGGAAAGGGGGGGGGGGGTCGCATGGAACTTTGCGCAAGCTACTGTAATTGAAGATAATACGTGTATTTAAATAAAATGTTTTGAGCTACTCTCAGTAGTTAGGCGGATGCCGATAAAATCTACATAATATTCTGTCCCTGCTGTTTATAAATTAAAATAATTACCATAATACATATACGTGTCAGTGGTAGGAGTCTTTGATTTGACTTCACCCTTGGAAGCTGATATGTTATGTAAAATATCGTCTTATTTCTTTGTGTGTCCAAACATTTTAGAGTAACAAATGCCGGGTGAGTTCTGATGAAGCAATTGAAAATATAGAAGATACAGGGTGTTAGATGAGTTAGTAAAATAAGACACTGCTAAGACATGCAAATTACTACACAATTTTAACAACCAACTCTTGATGAAGAAACGGATAAAGATCTTAATGAGAGCGATGTAGAATTCGATATGGAAAATGAAATGGGTGAACTTTCGTAAACTCGCCGAGTCTTTGCTCATTGAAACTTACAGAAAGTAGCCAACCCTTGATGTGTAGTTTCTAGTACCGTCGCCCCTTGCAGTGTTGTAGTTGCCTCGCTTGAACTGGTAGCCGTTACGGGTTGGGGGACGCTTTCCGTTGTCTTCGTATTTAATGAATTGTCCGATGTCCTAGTATTAAATAGAGTTTCTAATGTTCTAACATCAACTGGACTTTCTGATGTCCCGGTGTTAGTAAGGGCTTCTGAAGTTCTAATGTTAGTAACAATCCCCGATGTCCTTGCGTTAGTAGGGTTTTCTGATGTCCGGGGACGTTGTGTTGTCCTTGTATTCGTTGGATTTTGAGACGACCTAGAATTTAGTGGGTACTGTGATGTCCTGGAATTATATTGGTTTTGTGATGTTCTAGTAGTGTCTGGGTTTTGTATTCTTGTAGTGTCTGGGTTAGTGTCTGAATTTTGTGTTGTAGTGCCAGGACTGTGAGATACCTTAGAGATAGAAGTGTTATCTGACACACTCGCGCCAGACGATGACCGTGGTGTTGAACTTGTGGTGAAGAAAGACGTTTGTATGGATTGCGTGGCTGTTGTATGCCTTGTTTGAATGGTCGAAACCGGGGATGTGGTGAGAATAGAAGAAGAAGTTTGGCTTGTTGAGACAGTGTGAACTGTGGGATCAGACGAGGGGTTTCCAGTAGATAGTGGGGTAGATGATGTCCTGCCAGAAGAAAGACTATGAACAGAAGAAGCGAGGGATGCTGTTTGATCAGAAGTAAGACTTTTACTGCCAGGAAACGTAGTTCTAGTAACATCAGAAGAAAGACCTTGACCAGTTGAAAGAGTAAGTGCTGTGGTATCAGAAGATGATGTTGACGCTGTAATATCGGAAAGGCTTATTGAAAGCTTGGATGATGTACCACCCGAAGAAAGACTGTGACCAGTCGGCAAGGCAGATGTGGTAATATCAGAAGAAAGACTTTGACTTGGTGGGTAGCTTGATGTAGTAACAACAGAACCGCTTTGACTAGTGGAAAACATTGCAGACGTTGTAGGTTGAGACGACAGAGTTTGACCAGGTGGGGAAGTAGATACTGTGTCATCGGAAGAAAGACTTTGGCCGGTTGGAAACGTGGATGTTGTAACATCAGATGAAAGACTTAGTCTAGTTGGAGAAGCTGAAACTGTCAGATCGGTTGGTATTGTGGAAGTTGTCCTTTGGCCACCAACTGTTGTAGTTGAAGGTACACTTGAGCTTAGAAGAATTTTAGGGCTATTGTAACCAGGACTTTGTGTTGTTGATGATGAGGAAGATGAAAATTGGGGTGAAGAGGAAATGGGTGGCAGAGATGACGAAGGAGTTGACGAGGAGGTCGTGACAGGTGGCTGAGACGTAAAAACAGAAATAGTTGAGGTAATCGTATGAGACGGTGATGTGAATGGAAGTGAAGAAGATGTCGAAGGAGGTGATGCAAAAGTAGAAGGTGTTGTAAAGAGTGGTGCAAAAGAGGGTGATGCAGAAAACGTTGACGATGTGGAAGGAGGTGGTGAAGAAGAAGGAGATGTTGAAGAAGGTAATGTTGAAGAAGGTAATGTAGAAAAATGTGGTGCGGAAGAAGGATGTTTGGAATAGGGTGATACAGGAGAAGGTAATGCATGTGTGAAAGAAACTGAAGATGATATAGATGAAGAAGACGATGGTATGGGAGGTGACAGTGGTGTGGAAGAAGGTGATGTGGGAGACTGTGATGCGGAAGAAGGTGATGGGAATGTAGGAGATGAAGAAACTGATGAAGTCGTAGAAGAAGGGGGCAGAGACGTAGAAGCAGATGATGGGGAAGAAATTGACGGTGATGTCGGAGTTCTTGATATGAAAGATGTTGAAGTGGAGGAAGGTAACAGTGACGTGGAAGATGATGATGATGATGATGATGATGATGATGATGATGATGATGAAAATGACGGGGAAGTTGTAGAAGTTAATGTGGAAGAATGTGGTGTAGATGAAGCTGAGGGTGACGGAGAAGAAGGTTGTGTTGATGTGGGTGGACGTAAATGTGAAATGGAAGAAGATGATGGAGGTGTGGAAGAAAGAAACGATGACGTGGAAACAAATGGCAAAAGTGTAGAAGAAGTTGACGATGACGCAATAGATGATGGTGTAAAAGAAGATGATGTGGAATGTAATGATGATGTGGAAAAAGATGAAGGTAACGTAGAAGAAAGTGAGGTTGAAAGGAGTGATGTAGAAGAAGACGATGGTGATTGGGAAGAAAGTGGAGGTGTTGTATCGATAGGAGAAGTTGAAAAGGTACTGGGTGACGTTTGTCTTGACGTAGGTGAATACGACGGCGGAGATGACGGTTGTCTTGTTGAAGAGGAAGGCGACAAAGAAGGGGAACGCGACGGAGAGGTAGTAGAAAGTAATGATGAAATAGAAGAATGAGACGACAACGGGGATAAAGGTTGTGTTGTTGAAGAGGAAAGTGGTAGGGAAGGGGAAGGTGAAGGGGATGTAGTGGTAAGTGGCGATGAAATAGGAGAATGTGACGAGCGTGCTGTGTTGGAAAGTGACGAATGACCGGAAAATGGAGTATGTAGAGATGTGGCAGAAGGCGATGGTGATGCGGGAGAGAGTGACGGTGATTTAGAAGTGGGAGATTGAGAAGATGAAGTATGTGACAAAGACGAGAGAGTATGTAAAAGAGAAGTACTTGTCCGTGACGGTGACATCGATGAAAATGACGGAGATGATGGTATTGGCGAGGTTGGTGTAGAAGAAAATAACGTTGACCTGTCGGTACTCGACGGCAGTGTAGTAAAAGGTGAGTGAGATGATGTTATTGATGATGGTGATGTTGTTGATGGCGATCCGGAGTTAACTGACGACGACGAGGAAGACAAAGACGTAATGACTGAAGGTGTAACTGAAATTGTAGATGATAGTGGCAATAATGATGGATTACTAAATGAAGTTGGGGTATGTATTGTAGACATTATTGTAGACGTCTGAGATATGACTGTTGTTGTCGTTGTGGTTGTTAATGGTGATGATGATGATGATGATGATGATGATGATGATGATGATGATGATGATGATGATGATGATGATGATGATGATGATGATGATGATGATGGCAGAGATGGAGATGACATTGATGTGAATTTAGAAGGAAATGAAGTAGACGTAGGAGATGATGGTGTAGATGTAGGCGATGATGGAGTAGATATAGAAGAGGATGGTGTTAATGTAGATGGTGGTGATGGAGATGTTGGAGATGATGGTTTAGATGTTGGGGATGATGATGCAGTTGTAGGTGATGGTGGTGTGGATGTAGGGGATGATGGTGTGGATGTAGGTGATGATGGTGGAGATGTAGGTGGGGATGCAAATGTAGGAGATGATAATGTAGATGTAGAAGATGATGATGTGAATGTAGAAGATGAAGGAGTAGATGTATGAGATGACAGTGTAGATGTAGGAGATGATGGTGAAGATGTAAGAGAAGACAGGATATGTGTTGAAAGCGACGGTGTGTGGGTAAAAGATAATGATGTAGATTTAGAAGATGGTGGTGTATATGTAGAAGAGGATGGTGTAGATGTAGAAGAGGATGGTGTAGATGTAGACAAGGATGGTGTAGATGTAGACGAGGATGGTGTCGACGTCAGAGATAAAGATGTAGATGTATGGGTTGATGGTGTAGATGTAGAAGATGGTGGCTTTGATGTAAAAGAAGATGGTGTAGATGTAGCAAAGGATGAGGTAGATGTAGATGATGGTGATAGAGATGTTGGGGATGATGGGGTAGATGTTGTGGATAATGAAGTAAATGCAGGAGATGATGATGTAGGAGATGATACAGAAGAAGATGGAGATGATGACAATGTAAATGTAGACGGTGATGATGTTGATGTAAGGAATGATAATATGGATGTAGAAGACGACGATAAAAATGTTGAGGATGATGGTGTAGATGTTAGGGATGATAGTGTAGATGTAGAAGAAGGTGGTGTAGATCTAGATGATGCTGTTGTAGATGTTGAAATTGATGGTGTAGATATTGAAGTAGAAGGTGCAAAAGTAGAGGGTGATGGTGTAGAAGATGGTGGTGTAGATGTTGAAAATGATGGTTTGGATGTAGATGAAACTGGTGAAGATGTAGAAGAAGATGGTGTGGATGTGGAAGAAGATGGTGTGGATGTAGAAGAAGAAGAAGATGGTGTGGAAGTAGAAGTAGAAGAAGATGGTGTGGAAGTAGAAGTAGAAGAAGATGGTTTGGATGTAGAAGTAGAAGAAGATGGTGTAGAAGTAAAAGAAGATGGTATAGAAGTAGAAGAAGATGTTGTCGATGTAGAAGTAGAAGAAGATGGTGTGGATGTAGAAGTAGAAGAAGATGGTGTAGAAGTAGAAGAAGATGGTGTGGATGTAGAAGTAGAAGAAGATGGTGTGGATGTAAAAGTAGAAGAAGATTGTGTTGATGTTGAAGAATATAGCGCGGATGTAGAAGGAGATGGCTTGGATGTAGAAGCAGATGGCGTGGCGGTAGAAGAGGATGGTGTGGCGGTAGAAGAAGATGGTGTGGCGGTAGAAGAAGACGGTTTAGATGTTGAAGATGATGGTGTAGATCTGGATGACGGTGATGTAGATGTAGGTGGCGGTGGTGATGTAGAAGGAGATGGTGTGAATGTAGAAAGAGATGGTGTGGATGTAGAAGAAGATGATGTGGATGTAGAAAAAGATGGTGTGGATGTAGAAAAAGATGGTGTGGAAGTTGGCGGTGGTGTCGTAGTTGTATACGGCGATAATGAGGATGAAGAAGATATTGAATAAGATGAAAATGTAGACGAGGGAGAAAATGATGAAAAGGACTGAGATGGAAGTGCAGACGAAGCAGACGTGGATGGTGGAGGTGTTATACTGGTTGAACTGGATGAAAAAGTAGAGGAAGACAATAATGACGAGCTGGAGAAAGAAGTTGTAACATCTGTTGCTGTACTTGTAATATCTGTGGTTGTGTCAGTAAGGTCTGTTGTTGTGCTTGTTGTATCTGTTAAGGAATCTGTGATATATGTTGTTCTATCTGTTGTTGTGTCTGTTGAGATATCTGTGATACCCGTTGTTGAGTTTGTAGTATAAGTCGTCGTATCTGCTGAGCTGTCTGCAATATCTGTTGTAAAGTCTGTGGTACTAGAGCTATCTGAAAATGTAGGTGTGCTAATTGGAGTAGAAAAAGCACCAGTTGCAAGTGTTGTGGCTGAGTCTGTTGCAGTGCTTATCTTGAAAGAAGTGGAAGAAAGGCTTCCTGTTGTAGGCTTTGAAGACCCGGAAGTCGAGGTCGATACTGCTGTTGACGCTGAGTTGCTATGGCTACTACCTCTTCCAGGCGTGACCGTAGCCCCTGCGCAGCGGTAGAGAGAGAGCAGGAAAGAACGAAAGACAACATGCAGTGTCATGGTTCGTTGGGAGTATATACCTTTTAACCACCTCGTGCAACCAGCTCACCATTAATAACAAAATACAGTTATACATTCCAGCCTCACCACACAATAGATCTATTAGTCATTTCATATTAATCAATTGAAAGGGTCAGAATAATAAAGGGTCTTAGTAAGTTCACATTTTGTTTTAGAGTTTTTAGTTAGATGACAAACGTCAGAAGAGAAAACATAACTTAACAATTTGATGAAATGATAGAATAGCTTTACATCAGAGTTTTCGCGTTAACTAATTGCCCAAATTCGTAGTATATCCTGCTCAAGTCCAGCTAATTTTGCAGTTTTTTTTTTTCATTTTGTTAAATGGGACTTAGACACTTTATTATTCCGAGTTAAAAAATACAAAGAGTGACACTGTGCTTCTGGTGACAGCAACGCTTTGTTGAATTTTCAGGCGGGGTGGGATGAAAGTGTTCGTTTAAGTTACGTAAAAGGGGGGGGGGGGAGGGAGCTAGAAATGTTTCATTCAGAGGATGGGGAAAACGATGTAATTGACTGTAATTCCCGCTCCTGTGCTTGATAAAAACTAAATCAATTGGCACCTTCCAGCCACCCACACAGTATAGGAGGCCTGCTAACGACGCTGGAATTGTAAACCTGCTGTTCAAGCACAGCCTTGTATTAAAATATCCAGAGCTCTACAACAATAGGATGTAATTCCGGTTCGCACCACTTGACTCAATTTGGAACCAAATAAACGGCAAGGGGAAAAAGGCTCTGCGCACTTCACTACATGGAGACTGATGTTTTGCTCTTTATTTAAGCGTATATGGTACGCACAAGCGCAGCAGCGTTTCTATAAAGAGCAAAGAGCAGTGGTCATGACAGTGTCAAAGATAGTATATTTCAAGTCTATCGTAAGTGCAATAACTGCCACTTTGCTTTTCATTAAACAGAATAGAGCAATAGTAATACTGGCTAAAAGTACGGGAAGCTGAAAAACAAACAAACAAGCAACCAAGAGCACTGCTCATGTCAATATGACAAATTAACCGTAAATTCAAACCATTACCAAATTTGCCATATTCCACCACATCGTAAAAAAGCAAAGTATAACGGTTCTGGTGAACATCTTGCAGCACCAAATGTTAGTTGTGTGGCCGAATCATAGTCTGAAGTACGGAAAATACCTAAGTAGTTAGTCTTTTCTCTTGTCTTGAAGTGCAATTAAGTCGTAGATTATTGCTTGAAGAGAATTGACTTTATAACATCATTCTTTTTTTTTTTGGTTTCATGTGTATTTGTTTTGTGAGTAGGATTTTTGTGGGGTGGGAGTGGGGGTGCTTTTCGTTGTGTTTTTCAAGATGCAGCCCGAACCATTAAACTCTGCTCAATGAATAGCTACCCCTATACCCACGCTACAACCATAAATACTCTACTCATATACCTCATAACTAAAAAGTTAACTTTCCTCTATGAACCCACAACAGCATGACATGGTTTTTAACAGCGCTTTCAATACAATACGGCAATACAAAAGCTCAAAACTTTGTATCTGCTTTCATTATTTATCATTATGTGGACAGGAAGGGACAAATCAATTTCAAGAGAATTGTGGAAGGAGACAGACAAACGTCGACCACAGAGGAAGAAGCAGAGAAAGGCACATTCAAAGCTAGGCTACGCCTACTTACCCGGTGTTTTAGGACCAGTGATGAGAGAAACACTAGGGGGGTTAGAAGTGGCTGCAGAGGCAGAGAGGAACGTTAGTATAACAGGCAATAAAGCTTCACAATACACAGCTGGGATATGGTTTTGTATTACAACGATACGGAATAATGGCGATAAAAATATTTTGAGTGATATGGTATTATGTAGTATGTTCATTTATCAGTCAGAGCTTAAAACACCATAAACTGGCGTCTCTGATTCTTGTTTTCCCCGCCCTTCGCCAGCCCAATTCAATTTTATTTCAGTTCCTTCACTTTTTAAATTATAAACATTTGTACTGTTATGACTAGGTGCTTATGTTTTGTTTTCTACTGTGGGAGTTGTTCAGTGTTCAGTGCGTGTCCTTTGTGAAAGGGTTGTGACCGATATTGTTATAGAAGACGGGTCTCCGACAGAACAGTCATTTCCGTCCAGCAAAGACTTGAAAAAGCAAGGCGAGACGGCATAGCCAATAATGTCTCATGGAAGATCCGAACATTGTTGTCACGGACTGCTGTCCAGCAGCCAGATTGCAACAAAAACAAACCGCGAAACAAGCCATAAATCATGATATTCACACCCTTAAGAGATGAAAGGATGAAAACGTCTAAATATAGACAGAACAGGTGGTGACTAAAAGAAAGAGGTATAAGTATGAGTAAGAATAGAAAAGAGACAACGAAACGGTATGGAGATAGAGACAAAAAATTCAATTTGAAAAGCAAAATTTACCCAAAATCGAACGAAAACAAAATTTAAAGCAATTAACAATTTCAACACAGCAAGCAGTTTTTTTGAAACAGAAAAAAAGACGTTCTGTCAGCAAAGATTTTGTTGAAGTAGCCAGCTGTTACTTTTTAAGAAACACAGTTCATTCTGCTCCTGTTTTCAGGGCGAGTGAGGTGAGTAAAATGTAATGTTAGTAATAGTAAAGCTAAACCAAAGAAAACAATGCAGAAAAAACAGCAAGAAAATTACCCCCAAAGGCAAGTGAACAAACAATACACAATAACCCAACAAACACATCGTAAAGAACAAACTGTTAGATAGAATGTCATAAAACAAGGGTACATACATGCAGGAAAAGGTCCAAGGGTTGTCACCATGCCCGGAGTGGGTGGGGTTACGAGTGCTGCTGTCGTTAGATGGGAGGGTGGTGAACGTGATGGTGTAATGGGTGGTTGGTGGGTGGACGTCGAGAGGACAGGGCCACTTGTGGTGGAAGGACGGTTTGTAGGTGGCGGGTTGGTGGGTGGAAGTTTTGTGGTAATGGGTGGTTTGTTTGTGGACGGAGGTTTTGTTGCTGGTGGTGGGTTAGTGGGTGGAGGTTTTGTGGTAAATGGGTTTGTGGG